TTGTTAAACACAACAGTGAACTCATGCCTCGTCACTCTTAATATGCTGCCACGAATGAAACTTGACTGATTGGATAAGAAAAATAATAGTGGGACTGAAGAAGGAGCGGGATTGAAAAAAAATTACGTATGTACAAGCAAGTTTTGAAAAAATGGTGTTTGTAGTTAAAAACAAATATAGCTTTAACTTAGATTGAAAAAGAAACAGGAAACGAAAGAATTTCAATTACAGGTCTGAAATTAGAAGATGACTGATGAACTTTTGAAAAGATCCTATAGTTCCGGATAGTTTGGATAGTCAACAAGAAGTCAGTTATTAAGAACAGGTTGAACAGAGGATTTCCATATATTCCATTCCAGAACAAGCGAAGTCAGAAACTTTGGACCGCTTTAGAGTTATTGTTTTTTTCTCTGATTTCCATCGTTGCCAAAATCATGGAGAGATCTGCATTGACGAGTCCACGGGTTACAACAAACAGATTCAAATGATACAGAATGAACTCACACTCACATTCTAGTATTTTGCCTAGGGATATTGCCACGATTGTATTAGGTGTCTAAATAAAAACGTAGTCAAGAGTGTTATGTCAACAGCCTTTGTTTTTTTTCCGTATGCCGTTTCCGAAATCAGTCTTCCTGTAAATAATACCTGTGAAAATTTATTTGTGTCTGTGAGTATAGGTTCTGTTAATTTAATTATAGGTGGAGTATATATTCCGCCTTCATCTAACATAGATGTAGGTATACCTACCTAAATCATTTTTCAGCGATTGAATCTGTTTTAGATAGGTTTCCTAATTATAACATGTGTATCATAGGCGATTACAATTTACCAAATTTTTCTTGGATCCCTAATATGCAATCTATAGGTTTTTCTGTTGATAATGTAGTTTCAGTACAAGACCACATTATTGTAGATTCCTTTAATTTTTTTTTTGTCCCTAAGATCCTATTAAATGATTATCAATTTCCTAATTGGTTTTCAGTAAACACAAAAAAATTAATAAATAAGAAAAATAGAATATATAAGAAATTCAAAAAATTCCAGTCAATGTACTTCTTTAATAAATATAAGGATATGCGACCTTTAGTTAAATATTCTATTAAGAAGGATTATAAAAAAATTATTACGTATACAGAAAATAAGTCAGTTTGCCAAATTTTATGTCTTATGACAATGCTAGTTCAACTGATCCTATAATTATTAGCAACATGTTTGCAGATCATTTTCAAAGTGTGTATGTTAATCAATAATCATATTAATTTGGACAATCAAATTGTTGATGATTTATCTAGCTTCGATGGTATTAATACTCGTAACTTTGGTGATACTGATATTTCGTATGACTTTGTCTTTAATAAATTATCTTCATTAACTAATAGCACCAATCCTGGTCCGGATGGCATTCCACCGTATTTTTTAAAACTTTATAGTCCAACTATTACAGTTCCTGTTACTCTCCTCTTTCAGTCATCTTTAAAAAGTGGTATTTGCCCTGATAAATGGAAAATGTCTTATATTTTGCCATTATTTAAATCTGGTACAAAAAATGATGTGTGTAAATACATACAAATTTGTTCCATCTCACCTTTGCGTAAAGTGTAAGAATCAATTATCACTGATAGTTTCTTAACCATATATAAAAATACAATTACTACAAACCAACATGGTTTTATGCCCCAACGTAGTACGGTTACCAATCTTTTCGTTTTTACTAACTATATTATCAAAGCGCTGGAACGTGGTAACCAAGTTGATGACGTATACCCCGATTTCTACAAGGCGTTTGATCTGTAAACATGAAATTATTATTAACAAAACTAACGAAATACGGTGTAATCGGAAATAATTTTAAATTGTTAACTTCATACTTAATTGGTCGTATCCAAAACGTCAGTCTTAAGGGTTTTCTGTCAAAAGAAATCCAGGTAACATCCGGTGTTCCGCAAGGGAGTCACTTAGGCCCAATCTTATTTCTCTTATTTAAAAATGATATCGTTCATTGTTTCAAATATTCAAAGTGTTCATTATTTGCAGATGATTTAAAACTCTTTAGATATAACGAACAATAATGATATTAATTTTCAAAAAGATATTATTGATTCATTAAACAATTGGTCTAATGACATGTCATTAAATATAAATAAGTGTAAAATTATATATTTCGCATGGATAATACATCCCCTTGAATATCAGTATTATATTGGTAACATTAGTTTTCAAAGAGTTGTAACCATTTCGGACCTAGGCATTATTTTGGATTCTCGACTCAAATATAATTTTCATATAGATAGTATCATAAAAAGAGTGTATGGATTAACTGGATTTATAAAAAGGCAGTGTAAACATGTCAATAATTATTTCATTCGTTAGTTAGATCTATTCTTGAATATGGCTGTGTCATTTGGAATCCATATTACAGAAATGGAGTTGAGCGTATTCAAAAGATACAAAGAAAGTTGGTTAATTTCATTTTATTTAAACTTAAAATAGACAAAAATAAATATTCTTATGAGGATCGCCTTCAGTTGTTAGGATTCGAAGCACTTGAATTTCGTAGGAATAAATTAATGTTAATTTTCGGTTATAAAATTTTGTATAATCAATTTGATTGTTCAATTTTAATTATTTTTTTTTTAATTTCGAGTTTCTAATTATAATACTCGAGGTAATGATTTATTTTCTATTGAGCTTCAAAGAACTAATTATGGATTTCACTCTCCTTGTATGAGAATTGCAAGACTAATTAAGGACCTACCTTCATCTATCGATATATTTAATTATAATTTGAATCTCTTTAGAAAAATGTTATCCTATAGTCATATATATTGAGCTTTATTATTTCTGTTTGTTTTCAAGGTACAATCTGCATTGTTTAAATTAGATCAATTTTTATTAACTATGTCTCATTAGTTTTAGGTCTAAATTACTTTGTAAAGTGCCTATTTGCCTATTTGGATTATTCTGTTGGCAATTAAGTAACAATAAAGAATAAACAAAAAAAGAATACAAACAGAATATGTTTACTTTTGAAACTTAAAGATTCGAAGCAAACCTTTGGAATTTGCAATAAGAAACTGTAACATGAGAAAATATGTAGAAAAAGTTACTATAAAAAGTCACATTCTAGTATTTTAACTAGGGATTTTTCGACGATTGTATTAGGTGTCTAAATAAAAACGTAGTCAAGAGTGTTATCTCAACAGCTTTTGTTGTTTTTTCCGTATGCCGTTTCCGAAATCACTTTTGAAAGCTGTCATCCACCGTTTATCACATAGACTCGTGTGAATTAATAACTTTTAAACTGAATTTGACATCGAAATGACAATTGTCTCGAACACGATAACAAAACACTACGAGATACGAGAAAAAAAATCAATAAAATAGGAGACAGTCGTCTTGACCAGGTTTTTATTTAGACACCAGATACTTATCTTTAGTAACATATAAGATGATATAATAGATATGTAACCATAGTAATACATCCATTTCATTATTCCTAATTAATAAGAAACTCGATAGGCTTACGTGATACAGACTCCTTAAAAATATTGTATATTGCATTTGTTCAATGTCGTTTAGAATATGGAACCCAGTTTACAACATTTACATTGATAGCTTAGAAAAAATACAAAGACGATTTCTAAAGAATGCTGCTTATTTGGTCGATAAAGTTTACCCTCCACGGGGTATTCAAATGATCTTCTACTTGAAAAATTTGAAATGGTCAATCTTTTGTCAAGGTGCTGCTTAACCTTGGTTATATGTTTATTTAACATAATAAACCATATTATTGATTGTCCTCAACTGCTGAGTCAAATAAACATCCATGTCCCTAAACTGAATATAAGAAAAAGTAATAGAACGTTTGAGCTTCCTCAAGCGAAAACACGAATAGAACACGAAATTAGATACATTTTACCACAGACCCTCAGATATGAAATTTCCTCGTCTGACTGTCCATTAGTATCGGATTATTTTCTCTTTACTCTTTTTATTTTTCTTATCTTTTTTCGTTTTTGTTTTTCTTACTCCTCTTCTATGACATGAGTTTGGTAACTCAGTAACTGGGCTATATAGCCTGTTGAGTTATTATTTTTCAATTATATTAATAACAATAAGAGTTATGTTAATCAGACGATGGTACAAGAAGACATGGTATGCTACTCCGGTGGATGAATTTTCGTCTGAACGCTGCCAAATGTCAATTTAGCAATGATATGTGAGGTTATAACGGAGCTTGAGATTCCGTTCAGTTTTTAATCATGAGTCAACTTATCTTCGAAGGTGCTGAGTTCAAATCAGATCCTAATAACATGTGTTCAAAATCTGACATCGTTCGTTGGCGAACATGCAAAAAAACAGAATTTAAAGTTGGCGGTCATGACAGCCACATGACGTCACACAAAATGCGCAATATCATATCATGTCTTCTTGTACCATGAATCAGATTAGATAATATGTTATCTATGGGTACAAATAGCAACTACGAAAATAATTATCATAGTTAAAATAATTCTGTTATCTTGATATGAGCACCTACTTAATATATTTTTTATTATCTGACGTCATAGTAAACAATATTATTAAAAAAATCTTAACTTTGATAAAGCTATAGATCAAAATATTTAAAAAATTCAAAGTACAATTTGGACAACAGAAACATCCATTATGAAACTATGAAAAGTAAAGTTTCTTAAAAATTGATATTGAATATTAATTTAATAGGTAAGTAACTAAAATGATTTATAAAATATAATATTACTTTAATACAAGATTCTTGTATTTTAGAAGATGCTACACAAATTTAATAGTTGTCCAAGTTTTCATCCATTCAACTTTTCAGTTTCCTGTCTTGAAGAAGCAAACATAAAGAAAATATTTGAAGTAGTAATAAACACAAAGTGAGGAGAAACATGAAGAGATTAATAAACAAATAAAAGATTTTGGGAAGATGAAACAAAAATAAAACCACTGCTAGTGTCAAAGTTAGATCTACTTTTGAACAAAAATTTGTAACTTTCTAAACGTAATTCACTCAAGATCAAAATATGTATTACGTTTTTCTATTATTTTTTATGCCACTACACATATTTGTCATTTTTAAAATTAAATTAATACACAGTTAGGTTTATATCTTTTCTTCTTTTGACTAATCGCAGCTCTAGTTGCTTCCGCAAACACAGTGTGAATATTGAATCTAGTCTTTGCGGAACATTCAAGATAGGTCATTGCTCTTATTCTCTTAGCGACAGCTTCCGCGTCTTCTCTTGTTACTGGTCTCTTCTTCATCTGCTCTAGCATTGTTAGTTCTTGTTTGTCTTCTCTTATGTCACTTTTTGTACCAATTAGCAAAATGGGCACATTCGGGCAAAAGTGTTTCACTTCAGGCCACCACCGATCGTAAACATTTTTCAAAGAATCTGGCCATGCTACAGAAAAGCAAATCAAAACAACGTCTGTTCCCGGATATTGGAGGGCTCTTAAACGAGCATAGTCCTCTTGCCCGGCAGTGTCCCAAAGACACAAATCGACATTTTTGCCGTCAGCTTCAATATTTGCTACATAAGTTTCGAACACAGTGGGTATGTATCCTTCAGTGTATATGTCTTTGGCAAATGCTAACAAAAGGCAGGTTTTTCCACACGCACCATCACCCACGACTATTAGTTTCTTCTGGATGGACATTTCGAAATATTAACACTGATAAACTAATTCGGTACATTTGTCAGTTGACGGAGATAAATCAAAATTAGACGCTTTGATCTTTAACGAGAATTATGTCCTAATCAATTGATAAAAGATAAGCCTTATCTGAACAGTTGTAGATGCTATCGCTAGCAAATGTGTAACAGTAAATTAAAGGTAAAGGTAATGCGGTTTAAAAGATATATGGTGGTATACGGAATTTGAAATAAAAATTTACAAATTATGTCAGTGTTTCAAGTGTGAAAACAGAAAAAAAACTTAGTTCAAAGAAATTTGTCTGTCTATAAAATACCGTGTGATTTTTTAATTTTCTGCTCTAGTTGGCCATGCCGTTTACGTGAACCGTTTCAATTGCACACCTGACCGATGGGTCTAGAAAGGTGACCACATGATCTATCTCAAAAATTTATACTTAAATGATTTCGAAAGTAAATACTTACGTTAAGATTTAATGTAAAAATGTAAAAAGTTTAGTTTAGACACTTTAGTTTGTTGCGAAATATGAAACATTGAAATTACTAGTTGTCCGTTTCTCTCTGTTTGTCCCCGTATTGTCTATTATGTGACTGTAAATCAATTTATGATTATTTCGGAGATGAAAAACGCTAACCACAATTTATTTGTTTGTCCCCTCCAACAAATTAATGGTATACAATACAATTTATTTTTAACTTTGCATGAATATACATTGCAGCAAAAAAAAAAATACAAACCATCAATTTTACAGTTTGTCTCTGACATTACTTAGAGGTCTTTTCCAAATTTTGATAAATGTTTTTTGTTCTAAACAAATAAACAAAAATTTATTGTTATAGCTCCCCTGCAGCTTTGTGTTGAAGCTGTGAAATCAAATCGAAAGCTTTCGCAACCACATTTGGTAACACAAAGACGTGTTTCGGGTAGATGGTGTCAATTTTCAAAAAAATTGAAACGAATTGTTAGCATTTGCCAAAGATATGTACACTGAAGAGTACATAGGTACCCACTATGTTCGAAACTTATGTAGCAGATATTGAAGTCGATGGCAAAAATGAAATCTGCAAGGCTTTTAGAGACAAGGAGACCGGAAAGGTCGGGAAAGGGAAAAAGGACACTGACGGTTAATCTCCTCCGAAACGAAAAAGAGAGTGAAAAGGCCGAGAGTGAGTAATGGAAGTGGGGATGTTCCCAGTGAGTGGGTTTCTAAATAGAAGAGAACTAAGAAACCACTGCCTTTGTTCAAATATTATACAGAGTGTTATTGAAAGGTACGTACAAAATTAAATCGGCAATTGGTCTCGAAGTATGTGTGCTAAAAGTTAAAAAAAGTTCAGGTAAAAGTGTTCTCTTTTCAGAGATAAAAATTATTAAAATTTATGTCCAAATTCGTTGTACGCCTCTGATAAAAAGATCATCTCTCGTTACTTTTCTACATTTAGTCTTGGCAAAAGTTTTATTGTTACAGTTGCTGGGATTTACTAAAATAAATTAATTTTACCTATTTATCCTTCAGTAGCGTCTAAAAAGGTTGGATAACAGTTAATTTTCTCCTTATAATTTTGTTAACACAAAATAAGTTTTTCAGGCTTCTTAGACTTCGCGGAGAACTGTCAATTTTGTTGTACGTACCTCTCAATAACACCCTGTAGAATTTAAAATTGTTAGTGTAACAACTATTGACGTAGACTCATTGACAAAAATATGCCGTACATATGGCTGGTTGATCATAGTTGATCATAGTTTGAATCTTCAATATTATATGTTTACTCATAATTTGTTCTTAATAATAACAGAGACGAGAAACACAAATCTTAGGAAAAAATGAATGCTTAAGAAAATTTTTAAAATAACCAACAGCCCATAAAAATGTACCCCAAGAATTTGACTTTTGTGGCTTCTTCTTCTGCTCAGTTTAGGGAGTCCCCTCCTTTTCACATAGGAACCCACTACAACAAAAAAAAAATGGTCGAACATTATTTCGACAGAACTCCCCTCGTTTTTGAAGTCCGACAAATCTAGCTCTTTAAAAAAAATGATTTTACGGTTTTCGTTTTGTAATAACCTCTATAAAGTAAAAGTCAGCGGCATAGATAACATCCCGCAGCCCTTGCGCCGTACAGACGATATAAAATATATTTAAAGCACATAACTAACGGGATAAAATGTCCTTCAACACTAGGTAATAGCAATCTGAAGTTCAAGTGTTTATATATGTTTACACGTCGAAAGAATGTCACGTAGACATTAGTTTGATTTGAATAAATTTGTCTTCTCAAAATAAAGGACTAAAATTACTAATTAGACCACAATTGAATAAAATGTTCTGAATATTATAAATCTTATTTATATAAAGACATGCGTATTCTCACATTTTGGAAAAATGGGGTAACTCGTTCTTAATTTGACCAATAAAAAATTTGTGATAACGTCATCAACATGGATCATACTAGCCATATCACAAAAGAAAGGTAGTGACAGCGCATTACCAATGCAAGAAAAACAAGAAAGGGCCAAGTTCGGCATCGAGCCCACCAATTCATTGAGATGACGTCATCAAATTGTTGGTGGGGATGATTAACCAAATTTTGGTTAGCATTTAGCCATCTACATTACATTTCTAATATACATACAAAATTTGACAACAATTGATCTTACGTGTCCAATAAAAATGGATACAAACACCAGATAGACAGACAGACAGACAGACGGAAACGGGAGACTACTTTTTTTCGTACTGTAGGGATCATGAAACGTCGAGAAAATATAGAAGTGGCCATTCGTCCGATGGACTCGACTACTATACTTCCTTAGCTTACGCTTGGAAAATAGAAATTTGTGATGACGTCATCAATATGGATAACACTAGTCATAGCACAAAAGAAAACTAATCACAGCGCCTTACCAATGCAAGAAAAAAAAGTTGGTCGAAAGTTATTTCGACAGGACTTCCCTCGCCCCTGGAGTGCAGTGCAACAAATCCCGGTTCCTTGAGAAATAAAAAAAAATGATTTTGCAAATTTGCATTCATGATAACCTCTATACATTAAAATAAATAAGTATTGACAAGTAATACCAGTAACCGCCTGAGAAGGTACATGACTTCATATATTTTTTTTTTCTCTACCACATAGTTATCACTTATTTTTTAACGACACACTATACAGATTTTTTACAGGTCTTGTAGAACTTATTTTTTTGAATTCATTAACGTGTCATAACTAGTGACGCTACATTCTCACTCGCTTATAATATAGCATTTCTCTCACTTATAAATATAACATACTATTTTCTTAGAGGGTGCACATTTTTCTTAAAACTTAAAAACACAATTACATCTAAATTTCCTCGGTGTTCCCAATCGAACCATATATATGATGAGTTCATTCCAACTCTAAGACTGAAAGATTATTACACCCGGATAACGGAATTATACGCTGTAACAAGCACTTACCTTGTGCGGCTTATTAAGGTGTGCTTGTAGTCGAGGGAGGGCTGGAAAGGAGCAAGCATTGTTTGAGCACAATGTTGAGGTGTTTCCGGGACCGGAGTGCTGCTTCCGGTTACAACGATCAATTGCAGGATCGGTTTGTTTGCTTTGCCATTACTGGATGAAATCTATGCTGACAGATAGGCAGGCACTTTCTTCAAAGAAAATCTTACATAAAGACCTGACAAAAGGCGGGAAACGTTACACAAAAAGTAAATTATCTTTTTCTGCGTTTCACTTTTGTTTCGCAGGCTTCTTTTTAATGAAGCGTGTTTGAAAAAGCATTTAATTTTCTAGTTTATTAACGAATATGGTCATTACGTATTTTTCAGAGATCAGGTGATGGATCGATTTGGAATTTAATTGCACGTGAAAGCACTCACTACTAATTAATTTTTTAATAATTTGGGCTTTCAGGATTTTTCCTCCAGCTAATTTAATTATTACTCTGGGGAGACATTATTAAAAACGAAAATGAGGTTTACACTTAAAACATTTCATTAGGTTAAAAAAATTATACGGTAGGTAGTATTTGGAATACAGACTCGCAAATTAAATTGACAAGCAAAAGTATTAAACGTTGCTTTTTTGCTTTACTGACTTTGAGATAAAGAAAGGAATGTTGAAGACAATTTTCCGTATTATATTGTATGCTTTTACTACGGAATGGGACTATTTGGCGCGGCCGACTTGGCGCGGCCAACTTGGCGCGGCCGACTTGGCGCGAGCCATTTTGGCGCAAAGCCAACTTGGCGCAGGGACACTTTGGCGCAAGCCATCTTGGCGCGAGCCATCTTGGCGCGAGTACGTCAGTATATAATATAAAAAATATTTATTGCTCGTACTTTGGTTGGCACCCTGTTATTTATGCTAAGTGTAGGCAACCAAATACACATTTTAATTCCCACAAATTCTAATAACTAAATGATCCACGGAGCAAGAAGTTCCACGTTTAGGAGTATGTTTATAATGGGGTGCAGGGCGCGAAGCGCCCGTGTGTCCATTAAAAAGTCGACATTACTCCTTCCCGCGTTGGAGACTATAAAAATTAGGTTATGCTAACAACGGGTGCAATTTTTGTATATTTATATCTATTTTTCTTGGTACAAGTTCATTCGCGCCAAGATGGCTCGCGCCAAGATGGCTTGCGCCAAAGTGTCCCTGCGCCAAAGTGTCCCTGCGCCAAAATGTCTCGCGCCAAATCGGCCGCGCCAAGTTGGCCGCGCCAAGTCGGCCGCGCCGAATTGTCCTAGACCGGCTTTTACTAGTTTACTATATGTTGCATGGTGAAAGGCTGTTTTTTATTATTCTTGTAAAAGAATTTTAATACTGATTTCTGGAATTTGCATGTTTTGTTACTTACATTGAGACCACCTTATAATGTTTATTGCGACCCCTTCTACTTCTGTCATTTCATATATGTAGTAAATTTTGTTGAGAAGAGAAAACATTCTAACGTTGAGTTAAAGAGAGCTGACAAACCTACACAGAAATTGAAGGGAACACCATTTACACATTATACCTGAATAACCGACATTCTAAATAATTTAA